TCGGCACAAAGAGCTCACTGAATAACTGTTTCGTCCTGTTTGGGGCTCGTCAGCAGTGCGTGTACATTTTGTGTTCCCGTCTCAGGACTCGAACCGTGAACCTTCCGGGTTGAGACTTCAAAACATTTCGCATTTCAATGCATTTATCTCGTGGNGGGGGGGGGGGGAATTAACGATCTCCCAAGCAGTAAAATCCACATTCAAGACCATCAAGAGTGCCTGGTGCATATGAACAATGGAATCGGCTAATCCAAGCTTGAATCTGTAAACTTTGTTTCAAATGTTTAAACAATCCCATGGAGTACACAGTGAGAATACAGATTGGCAGACTTAGCAAGTGTGATCGAGGCGTTCCCAACTTTGTTAAGAGTTAAAACGAGAGGGTCTAGACAAGAGGCGGTTTCGCAGTCTAGCCACAGCGGAAGTAGTTAGTGACCGTCTTCACAAATACACACACACACACACACACCTCCCTATGTATGTACTCGAAAACGATTTGTGCAAGCGCTCAAGCTCCCATGGCCGGATTGCCGACAAGAGATCCGTCATGACACATGGGAGCAAATGACAATTGGGGACCAATTATGATACAAACTGTTGCGTACTTCATTTACTTTCTCTTTACTCTCGTAAATCCTGATCTATCTCTATAGTCATGTGTATTGTGTTGTGATGGCATGATTAGGGCACAGTGAAAACGAGCTAGTTTGCCAATTTGTGTTCTCCCATCATAATCCATCGATCATTGTCAGATTTTGCAAACTATCTAGAGAGGATTTTACATGAAGCAATGAATTTTATTTCATGTGAGACTTACGACTCACATTCACACACAAACACACAACTTAACAAACGAAGAACAAACCGAGTTAAAACTGTAACTGAATAAAGTAAGTTAGCCACTTTGGCGAACAGTGTGAACCGAGGACACTTCTCCGGTGAGCTTGCCCTGTACAGGCAAACGAATTGTGAGTTCGGTCCGTTTTCTTGATCTAACATGCATGGGCTTTACCCCATTGAGGTCCTAAGAGGTCAAACCGATGTGCGTTGGTTCGATGCATAATACCAACAGTTTTTCACACTGAGAGAGAGAGAGAGACTGAAATACCTACCGACTACGGGGTCTCATCAATCGTGATTCAGTCCTTTATTCGAACCCCCAAATATCTTTGTATCGAATAAGAATGTACCTCACAGAATCCGTTCGTCTAGATAAAAGTGTTTGGAGCAGATCCGTGGATCATTTCCTCACATTGATCAAGTGTTGTTTGGAAATCTAGTTTATTGCTGATCATCAGTATAGCAGTTTCAGGGAAGCACATTCATTTCGTATCATTTTCCGGGAAATTTTCGACATTCCTGGTCACACATTCAGGCATGTGGCATACCACCTAGTACGTATCTTTCGGCACTTAATTAGAACTCAGATAATTAATTAAATTAAATATAATTTTATAAGCCATTTACACCCACGCACGATGTAGTCACGATGCCAGTGTTGCGACAACAAATTAGTACAAACATTTTTTCAAATAGTTGTTTGGCAGATTTGAAGTTTGTATGTCGATTGTGAAAAGTTCAGTATCCTCGGTTGGATTCGAACCCACGCATGGATGCCGCCTACGCTTTGTACGCGCATGTCCACCAGCTGAGCTACGAGGCCACACCGATAGCACCGATCTTTTCACATTCACTCGTAGCTCAGCTGGTAGAGCATGCGCGTACAAAGCGTAGGCGGCATCCATGCGTGGGTTCGAATCCCACCGAGGCTACTGAACTTTTCACAATCGACATACAAACATTTTCTAATTTTTTTATTGCACACTTCCGTGTGATAAAATGAGGACCTGCTGTTCAGTGATGGAAACCGGTAACCTAATCCACGGGACTTGGAGTGGTGAACCACAGAAGACCCCGATAGGTTAGGTGTGGCATTAGACCGCACGACAGCAAAGCTGCCTACCACCAAAGTCGGCTGGCGGTTGCGGTTGCGCGGCTCGAAAATCGAACCATAGGGTCCAAAGCACACCTGTGACAATGATTAAACCACTGCACCACCACCAAACTGAACGGATTAGCGCACCATTGATTCGGTCAGTGCGTAAACCTTCAGCGGATCAAGTAGTGCTGAATAATCGTTGAAAGTCAATCGATTCTTCTCACATGTTTGTACATTGACGATATAAAGAAAACGAGTGGCAATTTTCTTCAGTGATAGAATCCAAATATAATATACTTGGTGAGCGTTATGCTTAACGGTTGCTTTCAAAGCGTTGACCGCATCCGGTCCACATCTTAACATTCTGGTAGGGAAGTCACGACGGTTTTAGCGGAAAACAAGTAACCACAGAATAAATCGTGGTTTGCTGGTCTATATTTATGACCGGGTATTCGTTATCCCAACATGTACTTTCTACTCACCATCGAAAGGCTTCTTATGCACTGCAAAATGTTTTATTCCTCCGTAGAAATCATCAATAACAAATCCAATGGGATTCGGACCCACGTGCCAACGGTTGTGAATCCGGCGCGTTAACCCCCTTGGCTATCCGGCCCGGCTCTCTGGAGCGTGCCCCACGTTACCACTATGGAGTGTAACATTCACTCACCATTGACGTTGAACACATCTGAATCACACCAGGCAGCAACTGACTACCTAGTGCACGACTTCTTTAGACGATCCCGTTAGGACTGAGCAGGTAATATACAACATTACGCATGTGAAACTATTTTCAGCTTTGCTTTTAAACACTTCTTGTTCCCCGAAAAACAATTTTTTTTCTCCGTAAGTGCATGCAGGCAAGAATTGTACTGGTAAATTGGTAAAAGTTGTTTGTGTATAAAACTTCGGGTCTCGATATTTAAGTTCGTATTGACTAGCAGGTTTTCTATCAACGCCCAGTTTGTTCAACATGGATTATCTACTCTATTGACACGGGTCAGTCGGGAAACCGACCAAAACCTGATATGAGATATCCCCTCCCCCCTCCCGGGAATGATAATTTAAGATGTCACACATTCCGTTCGAATATGTACATCATTGACTAACTTTTATCTGAAAAGAAACTGTGGAAAGGTGGTTGTCAGTGGGCTTCGGACGCGCTTATCAAACGTTGGCGCGGCACAGATAAATATTCTCATATGAATAAATACTTATTATATATTGAATCTCAGCTTGCACCGTGAATTCCGTTTTTGCATTGGATGTAAATTTGCATGTGCAACGGGATTCTCATTCGATTTCACTGTTTTGCTAATTTCTGTAGTGACTACTTAAAGATACCAAGTAGACACATACAAGACAAAAAACATTTGTACTCTGTCAACGATAAACGTGAATCATGTTCTATTTCAGGTTTCCCACTGACATGACAACAGAATAAAAAGAATATGAAGAAAATTTTCTTGATTTTTGCTAGAAATATGACGCAAAAATGGGGATAAATTGCACCGAATTCACTGCCAGTTTCTTTGTGTTATTTCTGTCTAAAAGTTGGTCGGAAAGAACACAATCACATCGGGTATTGAGTGCTTGGCAGGCCATTTGTTCACAATAAGCTAGACTGCTAGGTAGGTGTAAATCATACTCAGGGATGAGATTCAAAGCATCCATACAGTTGTTCTCAATGTATCTCAAGGAACGAAATCGATTCCTAAGGTTTTGAACACAAGAAGCTTGCATAATTGTCAATAGTTATGCGACCATGAAATTACGTATTTGTGTACGCATGTGCATGTGTATATGTATGCATACACAGATGTATGTATGTATGTGTGTATGTATGAATACATCCGTGTGCGTGCGTGTGCTCAGTTTTTTTACTTCTGATTTTGAATAAATCAGGCCACTAGCTATATCGCTACTAAATAGAAAGTTAAATCATTAATAATTTATTCTTCCACCTCCTTTTATCACTGTAGCTGTTCGTCTTCTCCGAGTTCTTCTTTTGCTACGTACTGGTCATAATCAATCGCTAGATTTTAGCATTGAACAGGGTTACTTGGGCTGAGTCCTCTTGGAACACAACGTAATGAAGACTACTACTAGTATAAGTAGTAGTGTGTTTGCTGCTTGCATGAGCAGGCGGTTGATAGATGTTCACTGCATATCTGATCGGATTGAAGAATTAACTATTGTTTCTATTAGAAGAGGCAAAAGAACTGTTGAACTCTTGGTCTAGGTAAACCACTACTGACGAAATGGGACTATCCGCCACATTCGGAACCATTCCATCTACTGAGTATAAAAGAATCACGAAATCATCAAGGCTTGCTTATTATTATTATTATTATTTGGAAAAAATATTTACTTCAGTATAAATGCTGTTGACTATACGAATCCTCAAGTGTTTCGCAGGGACCCGTTTGCTTCATATAGGATTAGACCAGTATGTATGTTCGTTTCTGTTTTTGTCCAGTAGTAATCCTGCGTTCAAACCCGGCCCATCCTGATGTGTTGTTTGACCAGCTCAGAGTGACCGATGCTCCTTTTGTGAATGTTGGCATCCTGATAGTGCTGTCAGTATTGTTTGCTATAAGTTCACTTGTACTATAAAAAGAGGAGCGATCACCTAGTGAACAAGAATATAGGGAATTTTAACCCCAAGAAATATTCTCTGTTTACTTCAAGAAAATTATCTGTTCTGATATAGAATTAAATTGCACTTTACCATTGATATCTAGCACAGTGTTATTCTCATCTAGTTCCTTCAATTTAATTTTGACTGCAATTTCGAGAGTGAGTAGACCGGTTCTCTAACGTGTATTTAGGTCTCATACGCTGACTTTAAATGTGATATGAATGACAATGGCCACACATACACATGTTCTACCACGCATCATCAATCACTCAACCAATCAATCAGACAGAAGGAGGAAGCAATCTGTCGCAAATTTATGCCCAATGGCGAATCGATTGATCATTGAAACTGCGAACCCGTCCTCCCCCGTTAGTATTAGTATCAAATAATTTCATCCCAATCCCACCCCAAAATAGAAATTTACCTTTCCAATGTATCGTCCACTTTCGTCTCAGTAACATCCGTTCTATCCAGTTGGATACACGATGTCCACGAGCTTAAGGAAACGCGTGCACTTCGTGGCGACAGCATATTCAACGGTTGGATTTCTCCGGTATGTTCAACAGACAAATCATTCATCCGATCCCCATGACTCGTCGGACAGTGCGGACTGCGCAGTCCGGTGGCGGGAGATGTGGGCGGACTGGATGGCTTGGATCGAATGCGAACCGAATGGAAACGGAATACCCCCGTTCGGGTATCCGGTTGTTTGCATTCGACGGACCCGGGTACAAGTTCCTGGTCCACATTGACCAAATCCGATGGGGGTGTACATTTTTCACAACCGGTGGAATCATTGCACATGGAACATTTGTTTACGTCCTTGGTTTTGTGCAATGGGACCAATGAGGGTAGAACACAAAAGAAATGCGATCCATGTTTGTGTGAGTTTAGCACACTCTGTGAGTATCGTAACAGTATTTTGCCTTTCGGAGTGGGTTTACGGCTCATCGCGACCGCGTGTGTCAGCAGATTACAACAGCCAGACTGAGACGTGGGAGGTGGAGAGCAAATGTCAACGAGTCACCAAATCTAGGTAGATAAGCGAGCAAATAAAGGAGATAAATGAAACTTTTGGACTATATTGGATAAATGTGGATTTAGTTAATGAGATCAGCATAGGTTAGCAGGAATTGCCGCTTGGAGCTCGGAGCTTGAACGGTTGAAAAATTGGTACGTCTACACTACTCGTGGTTCCTAAAATAACACTTGAGTTAAACAAACCACGATTTCGATTCTTATGAACCAAGTGTGAGAGTTAAGGAGACTTCAATATCCTTATATGGCTGTCCAGTTTCTATTAGCTAAAGACTGTGTCAAGCGGTCGACCATTTTGTACGTGACGGTAGTCATTATCAAATGCATCAAATAGGTATTTTCTTTACATTATCTAGTCTTAACTGTTACAGTTATACTGGGCAGGTTAGTGACATGCTTTAAGCCTCGTTACATATCCGATAGATTTATAACGCAAATGAGTCCTAGCAACATGAAATAGATGGTGATTTATGTGATATCATATGCTGACTACTCAGACGAGTATGATCATTTATACGATCGAGTTTACAGCCCCCAAAATGTGTTTCGAAATATCATGGTGAATTAGGAGGTATAAATAGAAATTGCCTACCGAATTTTGTTTTGTAAAGACCAAATGAAGCTTGAACTGAAATGCTGGGAAGTATTGCTGGATAGATGTTCCGACCTGGTTAAGTCTCATCAGTGGTATGAATCCAACGATCCAACTGAGGGGGGGGGCGAACCGCGGACGTCACAGGTAGAATGTAGTTATACCACGCACTCGGTCACCGGGTATCTGATCAGCCCGTTTTTCAGTTTCCTTGAAGCATTCTTCACATGTTTCCAAACGAGTCATAAACCCCGGAGACCAGTGCCGAGATGAGCAACGTGTGATGCCCGCAATAAGCTTATAAAAGAGGGTTTTGCATCAGGAAGATGAGAGAAACGATCTGATCAATTGCCCGGTGATCGAGTGCGTAACATGCTAGAGGTCCCCGGGTTCGACCACCAGTTGTGTCGATGGATTCACAATTCTGATGAGACCAGATTAGTTTGAAACAGTTGTACAGTACTTCATAGCTTCATTTTCTCTTTACACGAAGAAATTCACTATAAAATCAAATAAAATACTACATCACTATCATGCAGTAAAGAGAATCTTTCCCAAGTGGAACTTAGTTTCGTCGCCTGGCGGGTCTGTGAGTCATCCTTTCAATCTGATCCATAATTTGAATAAATGTTTACCTTACTGACTAAAAAGTCAGTAGCCAGTTAAACGAAGTGTAAAATGTAAATGTCACATTGTGACTCTAACATGGTCTCTTGTCTTTAGCTAAATGTAAGCACTTATGTAAATGTGTGTTGTAAGTGGTACTGAAAACCATGCCGGATTTTGTTTCTGCTGTACTAGTTTTGCATAAATCTGGGTGTCAGCTAGAATTATTGCTGAGGTGCACGCCCCAGAGCCAATTAGCATTTCGTCATGTCCGGAAAACCACTGGGGTCGTGAATACACAATCTTATCCAGTGGTTACCTAGTATCACGACCAACAAACACTAATTTCCTTGCTGCCCGTTTCGTAGCCGTTTTCACAATCGGATGAGTGTACTATAGATAGACTGATAAATTCCCACGGTCCATTACATGACAACCACTCCTACCTCGAACTGTCCGGTTCAAATCATCAGATGCCATTTCCAACAACCCCTGTCAAAAATGATCTTGTTCGCACATTGTCCCTGAGAGAAAATGATAGACTTGTGGCACCAGTCACATCAGAGAGCTGTTTGCCAGACTGGTTGTTTACTCAAATGTGCGTCTAATGGGCAAACGTCCCACAGAATTTACACAGCTCGCACTGCCTATTTACTGCGATAGGCATTTGATCACTCGAACAAGTTAATACGCTACTTGGATTAGATAAAAACAACAACAAAAACAACAACAACAACAACAACAACGATGACAACAGAGAATTGGCTTATTTCATGAATGCAAGAAGAAGAAGAAGCATCATGATCACAGCAGCAGGATGATTCTCCGGTGAGTGTTCCTTCTACTCATAAATGGCATACAGATCGAGGAGGCAAGCAGCAGAAACAGCAGCAGTAGCAACAAAAACAACAGCACCCATGATCACCTTGTAACCAACTCCACAACACAGAGTGTTCATGATCGGACTTATATGAACCCAGTAACAGGTTGACACATGTCACAGTATCATAATGGGAAGGAATGCATTCACAGAAACAGTTTTACAAATGCACGATGACTGATCTGTTACCAGATTGCTTGATTGAAAGAGAGCAAAAACGGATGTCATCCAGAACAGGGATTAACCAATCAGAAAACCAGTTGGTACAACATTCACAGTTTAAATCACAACTACTCATCAGTAGTAATAAGGATATTGAGTTTAAATCCACACACAATCCCCGTCTTATCAAACCATCCCAAAACTCTGGAAGTTCCATGATGCATATATCCATCGGCTCATCCCAGGATTCCAACACCTGACCCGTCAAATAAAAGGTGTGTATGAACACTGTGCCAACTGGGGCACACCGGAGCGAACCAGAAGTACCGACTGAAGTTTTCACATATTCTGTCTCTCATGACGACCAACTGGTTGTGGTCGCACCTTCCCCGCCCCCCCCTCTCCCTTTGGAACAAATGAGAGACCTGATTGGATGCGAGGTTTTCGGTAAGAGGTTACCAAGAGATGAACCTTCCACCTCACTACTTTCTGGTTTATTCGTAACTGATTATCATTGAAGACGTTATTCGGAGGAAACGTGCTCATTCTGGTCAACTCGGTGATAACGTCACCAAATCATCTCCCCGGGGATGTGTGTTCGAGTCCCACGACCAAAGACCGACTTTCTCTAGCGTGTGTTGAAGGGTAGCCCTTTGATTGTCCGGTTACCCCTTCCTGAAAACTGTATCAATGTGAATTCAATGAAAGGAAGTAAAATTAAAAAGAAAAAAGTGATAGCACAAAAGCCTTCTGTGTGGATGATTCCGGAGGGCGGGGTGCAAACCTAATGAATGTGTACTACTCATGAGCTCCAACAAGAGTACCGGTTGAGTGCCTGATACCTCTGAAAAATCGAATGGGCTAATCTAAGCTTGATACTCTAAAGTTCTTAAGTTCTGTTTGAAATTTATGATTAAATTTCTGAACTACGAGGTTGTGTAAGATTGAAATTGAAAGGATATTTAGTCAAAATCAAATACATACCCTAGGGGATCTGTATTAGGACCGATCCTAAACCCATTATTCATAAACGACCTAGCCTAACGGTTCCAGTTACTTAGCTTCTCCTTTGCAGATAATGTGAAGGTCTTTGGTTCATAGGTTCTAGATGTCATCCTAAACTGAACCCTCAAATAGGACTTACTCCTGAGGATTGGAAAAACTCACCGTGGAAGATATCACGGTAGAACACGTCGTACGCCTCTTCACCAAAGAGACAGTGGAGTAAGTAAAAATACCTTGGGAATGGCTGATCTTAGATAGTCAGATCAGTGTGCCACAGCGGCACAAGAACCTAAGAGTGAGATTTTCCGATAAAAGGTCAGCTTTTTAATGCAATAAACTTGAGGTATTCATACCTCTGTCTGTACAAGGCATTAGTCAGGTCCTATTTAGCGTATTGTGTCCAGGAAATAAGGATGCCACCTGTTTAGAGCACATTCAATGGCTGACAACGCGAATGGTTGATGGACAATAGGCAAAGACATAAGGACCTTGGTCTATTCTTTTTCGAAAAGAGAAGGCTTTGAAAAGGTATGATAGAAACCCTGAAGACAATGAAAGATTCGTCTGGTCTTAGGGCCAGAAACCCGATTTCAATAGGTGCTAGATTTGCGAACATGGGGAGTATGAGATGCAGCTAGGCAAATAGTGTCCCAGATTGATCGCCCGGTCACACTTCTTCAACACCAAAGTAATTACCATACGGAACAGACCGTGTGAGCATTCAAGACTGCCTTGAACTCTGAACTATTTCCCGAATTTGAAGTCCGAATACCCATCCGACGGACACAGGTAAATATACTCTTTTTCTATCAAGCTTTAGTCAAAACCCGCAATCCTTTCATCTTGATCCACAATCGTTTGGTCAAAGTCTGCAATGCTTTAGCCAAGACCGGTAGTCTTTCAGTCTCTCGACTCACAAACTTTAGACACACCGAATTCGATCAATAAATATCGGAATATATGTAATCTGAGGTCAACAAATGTTGATGTTGCAAAGTTTAGTTATGCAATAAACACTGTGGTGGTGGTGGTGGTCGCACACTGCATCACCATCATAACTGGAGAAGGTTTAACCGATGTGCTTGTATCGTCAAACCGATGGACCCAATTCACACTGCTTCACTGTTTTCGTATAACATGCAATGCGAATATGAGTAAAAGTCTCCAATGTGACACAAATGGTACATTGTTCTACATTCACAAGAGAACTCGATTCCTGAGAGGTAGATATATCAATATGTTGATGATAATAAATACCGTTCAAAAAATACGCCCCATTACTACCATCAATTTATTAATGCTGTAACAATTGACATAATTAGCATGGTCGAGGCTTGAGAATTATGGGTTTCGTCTTAATCCTGATAGGATATAAAACGTTGACTTTTCGTCCTCTAAATTTAATTGAAAAATAAACACCTTCCCCCTACGTGAAGGCAGTGAGTAGAGCTTCCTTAGCAGAGGCTATCTGAGAGAGACGCTTTGCTGTGTGTGGGGGAGGGGCATTTCAACAGGGGTGGGGGAGGATGATGTGGCATAACACTCTGAATGAAGTTTTAAATAATCTACTGACAGGGGAAATGCAAACACTGTAACATGAGGAACCAAATGTCGTGTTAATTAGTGCAAATGAGATATGGTTACTGAGATTATGTTTATAAATCTGTG